CCTCTCCCCAAAACAAAAAAACAATTGATATTTAATAAGCATAATTTGATCAAGACTTATTCATAAGCATTATTTTCTAACAACCATGAGAATAAAGATGTAAACACAAAATAAGCAACCATATCCATCAGAACTAGCTCAAAGTAATGTAAGGGATCATTGATCACGCCTACCACCCAACTACATTTGGGACCTATTTGACGCGAAATTCTTTTCATCCCATTTATGTTATTTGATTAGCACCAATGAGTAACAACACTAATGAGTATTACCATATCCCTGTAACAAATTATGATAAGTTATTATAGGTATATTAGATTCCTTGATTTTAGGGAATTAGTTAGACTTTAGATGGAGACTCCAGAAGAATATGACATAAATTTTCTTACATTCTCTATATATTAAAATCTTGTATAAAGTAGAGTATAACATCAATTTGTATTCATTCAATCACAAACTCGGTGTTTACATAATGGAGAAATTTCAACCCTGACATTGAACACCAAATTGAACAAATATACTATAGAACATAGCAAATCAGATTAAGCTAAATCAAACCACAACAAAACTTCCAAGACCAGAAAATTATCAGTATAATGAAGCAAGTAAAATTAGAGATGTATTATACCTGAAGTGAATTTGAGATGATACCCCTTGATCCGACATCATACTAGCTTACAATCTTAAAAAAAAAATTCAACAAATTTTAGGTGAGGCACTTTATCAATCACTTTGTGGACATGATAAAAACATGTAAAATATATGAATGAAAACCAAATTTGAAGCAAGTAGAATGAATCTAACAACAAATTCCCAAATTATAAACATCTTTAGAAAATTTAATCACATCAAAAAAGTAATTTCGAATTGAATTAACAAATTTTATGCAAAAATACCCTAAAATAATCAAAATATGTACAAAAAATACGCTAAAATAATCAATTTTAAATCAAATTAAACCCTAGATTAATAATCAAGTCAAGAAGAGAGAAAATATTACCAATTTGCAACTAGAGATCGAGTGAGGAAGATCTACTTGAGTTCGTAGCAATGCAGTGTGAGGAGAAGGGGAAAGATGGAAGGAGAGTGAAAACACGGCTTCCCTTCTAATTTGAGGAAAAACGTTTTCTGTATAAAGGAAAATAGTTTTTCAACCCCAATTTTCCTATTCATATACAGCCCAAACCAAACAATGTAAGATAAGGAAAATAGTTTTACTCGAAAAGGTTTTCAGCCCAACCAAACAGGGCATAGGATTTTATTTTCCCGGTTTTGAGAGCTAGAAATGTAAAAATTTGTGTATTTTGGTTAGGATTTAAGGCTGTTTATGTTAGAGTAAGGGTTTTTTGTAGTATGTTGTTCAAAAATTGAACTATATACCTTTTTTTTGGGGGGAACTTAGAAGCCTGCTCTAGGTTGCATACAATATATTCCTCTTACGATTAGTTAAGCGATCATCTCTGTGTATATTAAGTGATGGATTATTCATTCAGCAGTGGGTCTTTGTACTATGGATGAATATAAATAAAACAAGTTGAGGCTTAGCATCAACACCGGTTGCAAAAATGATAGTTCTATCTCTATCTTAATGACTTAATTGCAATTATCTTTGTACTACCAGTAACACTGTTAACTGTGCGTCTGTGCATAGATTACAGAACGCATGTCAGTTTTTGGTTTTTTCTTGGGCTAAACTCTATGGTCAAAATATTGTTATTTATCTTGAGTTTTCTCATCTTAGGACACCCAATGAATTCAATATTTGTTATTTCTTTGTTTTTGCCCATTTCCTTGGAATTCCATTTGGTACCCTTTAAATTCGTATATTGTTATGTATAATTTGATGAATATGTGGGGTTTGCTCTGAACTTCTGGGTTAAACGAATCATAATGGCAAAAATAATTTGTTTGATTATAGGTCGTGTTTTCATTATAAAATCAAGTGTATCATACAAGCTAAGGCTATATCTGTTTTCTTGTTGTTTTCTTGATGTTATTAATTTGATAATTTGCTATGCAAGCTTTTTAAAGATTGTTTGTGCATTGGATGATGAAAACTTCTGTGGGAGAACAAGAGGGTGTTGGATAAGCTGATACGAGATATCGAGAGAGAGAGAGAGAGAGAGAGAGCTGGTTGCAAACTCAAGAGAAGAACTTAATTGCCCAACTCAAGAAGAGTGCTGGAGAAGGACATATGGTTTGTCATTTTATCCTCAATTTACGATCATTTTAGCTTGTTTTCGTGCCATTGATCTTTTAGCTTTAATATTATGTAACAAAACTAATCAAAACATGAAACTTTATTATTGTCAAACTCAGTATTATAATGGATTAAATTGAGATGGGGAAATTCCTGATTTATGTTTAATCTATGAATTAATTGCTCTTAATTGACGAATGTGGATTGCCCATTGTTGTATGGGAAGTTGGAGATTTTGACTAAAATATTGTTGATTGGGATATTCTGTTTATTTATTAGTTTATTTATGTTTTTTTTTTTTTTTTGGTGGTTAAAATTTCAATTAGATTTTTCTTTCCTATTTATTTCATGGTTCTACCTCTCAATTCTTCTTAGTTTGGGCTGTAATTTACTAAAGATTTTGTGAAGGTTTGGAGCATGGGTTTTCAATTACTATCATTTTAATTTACTAATCTATTAGACTTCTTTGACATTATTTAGGTTTTTTTTGGCTTTCTGAACTTTATTTGGGGTGTGACTTTGTAGAGAAAGAAAGTGAAATTTTTATGAAGATAAGGAGAGATGAGAGGAAGAAGCAATTGTAGCTTAGGAAGATGAGAGGGAGGGGCAAAGAAGATGGTTCCAGTCCAACTCACTGCTATTGTTACCCCAACAGGCCAACGACAAGAACATTGAACTGCAATGAGCCAGTTATTTGCTAAGTTGACTGCTGATTCCGATAAATTTATAGCTGAATATGAGAATAATCGTACTTCTTATTGTTGCTCTGTTTTGTTGAATTTCAGGGCTAAAAGAGAAGGAGGTGATCGAGAAGCAAGAGGTTCTTGAGCAAGTTCAAGCTCAAAGAATTCTTGAGGTTTCTTTTTCAAGTATTTTTGTTGGAATTTTGAATTTGGAGGAATAGAGAACAAGAAGTTGGGGGAAGGGGTAGGGGAATCGTGGACCAAGGAGGAAGATAAGTTCATTATTGGTTATGTTTTAATGTTATAATAAAAATAAAAATATTGTTTGGCCTTTTTGTTATGTAAGATGTTTAGGTATTTTATAATCTGCTTAGAATAGCATATATACTTGCACTAGATTTGTTACCCTTTTTCAAAGCTGATGGTTGATATAATTTAATGTAAAGGAAGAAACTCTGAACACCCCATTTTCTCAATGAACAATACAATACATAAATTTATGAGTATTTTAATGCAAACGGATATTTATTGGCAAATTACTTCTCCCGACACCGGTGTGATGCATTTGTAGAAACATTCGACAATTCATTTGATGCTATAGAGTATAGAGTAATTTGTTCCTATTGTGTATATAATTTTCAGGTTCCAATGACTAACTAAAAAAATTGCTGAAAATTTGATTTTGTGGCTTTCATGCAATATAAAAGTATTTGTTTTTGTTTCAGTGAGATATGATCTTGCAGAGAAGTCCCTAATAACATTTATGTATCCTAAATGACAAGGATTCTACGACGTCGGTAATATGTAAGTAAACTTTTCATCTTGTTACTTATGTTGAACATGATCTTTCTCTGTCCTGTAAGTCATTCCTTTCCCTGGATGCACAAGTTGATGATGCAAGAATTTCTGTACAGTTGGACGATCTGAAATTACGCAGTGCTTTATGTAATTTTCTATCTGATCATATTAGAAAACCATGACACTAAGAGCTGTCACTTGGAGCATATGTGGAATCAATTGCTGAAACCATAGATGCAGATTTGCTTTCAGCTTTTCAGAGTACAAGGAATACACTGGTGGATCAAATTCTGGAAGATTCCAAGACTGCTATTGTTGCTCGATTTGGCAAAGTGCTTTTTCGTGGTAATAGTCATTTTATTTCTTATTCCCACTACGTGTTTTGTGTGCTTGTTGCCTTGATGTCTTTGATTCTTCTTAGATCTTACCTTTCTTATGGGATGTGAATTGTTTAAAATCTTTAAATGGTTGAAGTTGCCTAATTTAATGGTTTTCTGTATGGAGTTTTTATGTTGTAGTCGTGCATTGGAATTTTTTATCAAAATACGAGCAAACATCTGATTTTAAAAATCAGATTTTGAAATTTCAAGAGAAAGATGATGTCAAAACAGCTGAACAAGACCAAATTTTCTATGTGTTTGATGGACTTTAAAAATTGAAATTTCTCAACTAAGGGATGTATGATGGTTCAGGGCTGTAGTATGATTACATTGTCTGTCTATGTTAATCTTATGCTGAGCTTATATGTTGTAGAGTGCCTTGTATGTAATTGTAAACTACATTAATCTGAATAGTGCTTGACATTTTATTAGTTATGTTAATTCTTCTAAATGCGGATATAAGTCAACTGAGATGGTTCATCTTTATAGGATTATACTTCCAAAATAAAATATATGAAATATCCAATATCTTTCTAACTTTTGATAGCGAAATGTTGCCACTGCTCCCAAGGTTGGTGATAGAATACCTTTTGTCATAGTTAGAGCTGCCAAAGGTGGCAAGGTTGTTCCTCCGTTGTTTATATAGATTGTAGACATTTGTTGAGGAGTGATTATAACCAGAGATAAGGTTTCTAGAAAAAGGGGGACTTTGAGAGGAGAAAGAAAATCAGGAGAAGAGGACGGAGGAGAGAGAGATGAGGGACAAAATTACACATACCTGATTTGGTGGAAAGTTTAAATTCTAATTTTCTAATTCTAGAATGGAGGTGTGATAGCTATTAGAGACTGGATTGATCTCAATGATTTAAATTTAAGATCAAGGAACCTTTAAAAGCTTGAAGATGAGGTGGGTTATTTTAATTAGTGTATATTTAATTACTTAATTTCCCTATTTTTTCATAAGCAATGACTATTGGAGTTGCATAATCTTGAATTTGTTAGCAAGACAACTGTGTTTTGAGTATGAAAATTGGATATTTCTACTTTTTTGGACCCGCATTATAGGTTTGTGGAGTGCATAGGTGTGGGTGTCCAAGAAATGTTTCTAGGTTGTTATCGGGTATTCAGATTCGATTGATTTTTTTTTTTTCCAAGTTTGACCTCAAATATGGCTTTATGCTAATTTTGTTTATGAGTTCAACTCCTGATTTATCTACTTAACCTGAAATATTTTATCTTCAAGTTAGGGATAATAAGTTTATTGGGTTGTTATTTTTTTTTTTTTTTTATTTAATTTTTTTTCGTCCTACATCCACCTAATTTTTTATTGCCTGCGAGGGGCGGACCTTTAGAGGGGGCTACACTGGGCCTGGCCACTGGTAACTTTTGGAAAAAAAATTTAAGGCCCAATAAAAAAAATAAAAAAAAAAAGAAAAAGCTGAAAGTTTCGAAAGAACAGAAACACTGAAAGTCTAAAACAGCAAAGATGAAACATTGAAACTCATTAACCCAAGAAAAGAAGTGCTCGTCCAGTAGATCGATCTCATCGTCCTCAAGTCACCAGTCGCCTCACCGTCGCGGCGTCGCTGCCTGCCAGCCTCACGGAGTTACGGCCTCAGTCTTCAATTGTTCTTTGCTTAATTGCTTACGCTTTTCGTTGAATCCGTTCGACCTTCAACTTCAACCGTTCTTCAATAGTTCAATTCGGTCATCAATTCGTTGCCTCAATCCATGTATGTATTTTAAATCTGAAATCTCTTAATTTTTTATACTATATCTTGAAATTATTGATTTAATTAATTAATTTAGTATGTCTTGTTAATCCTAATTCAAAATCCCCAATTTGAAATCCCCAATTGTTAACCCTAATTTTCAGATTTTAATGTTATAATTTGATGATACTCAGGAATCAGGATAGGAAGGATTGAAGGAAAGCTCGCTGCCGCGTTGATTGCAATCTCCAACCTTTAACAGCCCAAGCCAAGTAAGATTTCTAATGTAAATTTTCAATTATTTGTATGTATGAATCAATTAATGTATTATGTACGGGTTGAAAGGCATGTTTTCATAGAGAACATGGATATAGTTGTTTTTCATACTAGACATTATTGGCCCCCGAAAGAAAAAGTTTTAAGATCCGCCACTGTTGCCTGCTCTAATATACCATGGCTCCCCATATACTTGTTCTGTATCAAGTGACTACTTTCATACTACTCTGATATATCTTCATCGGCTTCATGCTTACATACTTATCTTCATCGGATTCATGATAACTTTTGTAAACTTTGGGGGTACATCAAAGACCAGTAGGAGGCTGCTTTAGAAATGATATCCAAAGCATACTTCCGTTGACACAAAAATAGACCTGTAGCACTACGAGAAACTTCTATGCCCAAAAAATATTTTAAAGGACCAAGATCCTTCATTTTGAAACAATCACTGAGATAGGCCTTGAAACCAACAAGTGCAGCGGTATGATTCCCAGAAATAATAAGATCATCTACGTATACTAAGACATTAATTTGAATTTTGCCTTTAGTATAAGTAAAGAGGGAATAATCAGAGTAGGATTGTAAGAAACCATACCCTTTCAAGGCCGCTACGAGCTTTTCGAACCAACATCTCGGGGCTTGTTTCAACCCATACAGGGACTTTCGCAGGCGGCACACTAGAGACGGATCCGAAATCTCAAACCCGGGAGGTAATTTCATGTACATCTGCTCATCAAGATCACCATGCAAAAAAGCGTTATGAACATCCATTTGATGAAGTTCCTAGTTTTTAGAAGCTGCAATTGCAAGAAAAGCCCTAACAGTAGTCATCTTCGCAATTGGAGCAAACGTTTCACCATAATCTATGCCTTCCTGCTGATGATTACCAAAAACAACCAAACGAGACTTGAGACGTTCAATATCACCATTAGACAAATATTTTGTCTTGTACACCCATTGAATTCCTAGAACCCGTTTGCCAGGAGGAAGTTGCTCTAAGGTCCAAGTCCCATTATCTTCCAATGCTCTAATTTCTTCTTGCATAGATCGTCGCCAACCTTCATGTTTCATGGCTTCTTTAAAGGATTTCGGATCATGACCACTAACAATGGCTGCCAGAAACTTACAATAATTCACAGAAAATTTGTCACAATTTATATAATGTGCTAAAGGATAAGGCGTACTTGAAGGAGTATTGGAAGGTGGAGTGAAGGAGGAAGGATTTTTTGCAAACACTGAGTGAGTCACATAATCGCGAAAAAGAACCGAAGGAATTTTCTCACGAAGCCCAAGCCCCAAATGCTGTCGTGGGCGAGCTGGTGGTGTATGGTGGTGTAGGGCAGACTGACCAGCCAAGGAAGAAGTGGCCTGGCCAACCTGTGTTGTTGCTGTCCCTGTGCTCGCAGCCATGTCCTGCGAGGAGGCAGTGGCATGACCTTGCTGGTCATCCAAGGTTGTGGGTGCAAAGTCTTGAACACCACCCATTTCCTCGTCATTACCATGGTGTCCCTCATACACCACATTGTTAATACACTCCTCATACTCCACGAAATCGTCATGCATGTACCTCATGATTCAAACCAGCACCAAGAGACTCAATGTTGATATCTTCCGGTGTAGCAAAAGGAAAAACATCCTTAAAAAATTTGATGTCCCGAGACACAAAAAAATTTTTGGATTCAAGATTATATAATCTCCATCCTTTCTTCCCAAACGGATATCCCACAAAAATACACTTTCAACTCCGACTCGCAAACTTGTCACCGTTAGTTTTCTGATTATGTGCAAAACATAGACACCCAAAAGTACGAAGTGCATCAAACATGGGAGGTTTATTAAAAAGGATTTCAAACGGAGTTTATTTTGCAGCAATGGAGTAGGAGTGCGATTAATTAGGTGAGTCGCGGCAAGGACACACTCACCCCAAAAGTAAATGGGTAATTATGCTTGAAATCTCAAAGCTCTGGCAACTGACAGAATATGTTTGTGTTTCCTCTCAACCCTCCCGTTTTGTTGTGGAGTACCCACACAAGAGGTTTGGAAAATAATACCAGTGGCATCAAAGAAATCACGTAGACAATTAAACTCCGTACCATTATCACTTTGCACAATTTTCATAGTCTGAGTGAATTGTCTTTCTACCATAGCAACAAACATAAAAAACATACGGAAAACCTCTGTTTTATCATTCAACAAATAAATCCAAACAACTCTAGAATAGTCATCAACAATTGTCAAAAAATAACGAGCTCCGCACGACAAAACACGTCTATACGGACCCCACAGATCACAATGAATTTTTTCAAAAATTCTAGATGCTTTATTATCACTCAAGGGAAAACTATCTCTAGGATGCTTAGCACGCATACATACTTCATATCCTTTATTTAAATATGCCTTGTTACTAACGGTGGGAAGTAACTTAACTACTTTCTCGGAAGGATGCCCCATACGACGATGCCACAACTCCAAGTCAGACTCTGCAGCATTAGTACTCACATGATGCCCCGAATCCGATTTGCTAAAATAATACAATCCATCCCTCCTAGCTCCCGTACCAATCAGCTCCCTCGTTTGGTCCTGTATAGCACACATATAAGCATTAATTGGACAATACAATTAAGGTCATCACTAAGTTGAGAAACTGAAATTAAGTTACAACTCAAATTAGGAACATGAAGCACCCAAGTGAGGGTGATGTTATCAGACAAACAAATAGAGCCAACGAGAGGCCGACACTATTTCCCCGTTAGGCAACCCAACCGGACACTCAAAACTTTTTGTATCAAAAAGACAAGACTTTTCACCGGTAACATGATGAGTAGCTCCTGTGTCAATAATCCAAGAGGTATCATTAAACTTACCATTCAATCGATTATCGGAAATTGTAGCATTACCCATCAATCCTATAATCGCTTTCCACTACTCACTTGAAAATAGCTGACCTGAAGCAAAGGAACCCACGTCATCCGAACTTCAGCCACCACCCGTGACTGCATTAGCCTTCACCGGAGCACCACGACCACGACCAGCCGAAAGTTGCCCCCCCGGCTGGCAGCAGCCCCTTCCGACCAGCAGCCATGCTTGTCATAGCAACGACTTTCTTCATGGCCCCTCTTTTTACAGAAATTGCACACCTTGTCCGACCATCACTTCACGATTTCATGGCCCACCTTCTTACATTTCTCACACACCGGCACCTGCCGATCAGAACCACCACGACCCCTCCCAGCACCAGTCCGTACAGCGAAGCCGAGAGCAGGGGAAGGCTCTTCTTTGAGGCGTGAGATACCTCTGACCTTCTCTTCTTGCGAAACTTGCTGGTAAGCTCTGTTAAGAGAAGGTAGGGGATCTGGCGAGAGCAATGTGGAACGAATGGAAGCATAATAATCAGAATATAAACCCAACAGAAACTGTTAGAGATGATCCCCATCACGCCTATCCGCCTGTTGTCTCCCTACATTACATGAACATTGCCCACACTTGCAAGTGATTAAGGGTTCAAGGCGATCAAGTTCATCCCACAAAACAGACAACCGACTGTAATATACAGCAACCGACATGGATTTCGATTGTTCACAACCATTAATATCGGACTTAAGTTGTTGAATTCTAGGGCCATTAACAAGACAAAAACGCTCATGTAAATCATCCCACAATTTCTTAGCATTATCATAATGAGAAAGCATAAACTTTACCTCCGGGTCGATAGTATTCATTAGCCAAGAAACCAACATACAATGAATTGTAACCCAATCATCCTTCATACATGGTGGGGCGAAGGTGATGATACTACCGTCAAGAAAACCAAACTTCCGACGAGAGCACAACGCAATTCGCACGGCATGAGACCAATCATGAAAATTGTCTAATTGAGACGTTTTAAAGTGATGTAATCCCCTGGACGATCTTGCGGTCCAAGGTAGAAAGGAGACGTCGCTTCTAGTTTCTGTGGTGGTGAAGAAGGTGTCTCGCCACCGCCAGTCATCGTGAATCACAAAGAGAAAAAAAATTTAACGAGGCTCCGATACCATGTTAAATTGATGTAAACTTACTGCTTACCTTTTATTAAACAATTAATTCTAATATACAACCTAAACCTAGAAACCCCTTAACATAGGTAACTTAGGATTTAGGAAATAATATCAAAGATAACTACCAATAATATCCACAAAATATCCCACAAAATATATCTCTAAAATATATTTCAATATTTAATTAGTCACTATATGGTTTGACTTGTTTTTGCTTTGCCATCTTTCTATATGTTTGTTGCAACATCATAACAAATGGTTAATCATGTCTATATTTGTTTCCACTTCTAGGGTTATCAATTCGGTGGTTGTGGCTCCAACTGTTGTTGCAAATATTGCTCGAGATTGGTGTTGTGCAAATGTTGCTTGTGATTATCTTCTCTCTTGAGAAATGCTCATCAGTTGCTCTGCTTGTGATTTGCTATGCTTAGTTTTAAAAAAACCCATTTCTTTTACATTCTGGCTTACTGTAATACTGATATCGTTCGCCAATATTTCTTCCAGTACGTGAGAAAAATATCTATTTTTGGTCACCATGTATTTCTTGATTGATCTATTTGAGTCATGGTTGTATAAATATGATATACTAATTAATTTGTGCTATTATTCATGCTTTAGATGTCGATAGTCCTATTACAATAATTTATAATAAAAATGGAGTTAATTTATAAGAGAATTCGATTTGTAACATTTATTACTCTAGTTATATTGCTCAAATTTTAGTTGAATTCATATCTTGTTATGGGGCTAAATCGATCTTGAAGTTTTGAATTCATGAGAGGTTTCAAATCTACAGGTGGACTAATACTATTATAAGTTCCCTATGCATTCATATTTAAGGCAATTGTTTATTTTACTCATCAAATTACGATGTAGAGTACGTGTGGAATAATTTGATTATTCTAGGTGTATTATATGGAGTACTTATTAGACTCAAAATATACAAGTATGTTATATATGATTAAAACTATGACCAAGGTATATCAATGCTTATCCAATATCATGAGTATAGCTCAACTTGCGTGACATTATTGTTCCTTTCACTTTGTTAAAATTTATACGAGTGTTAAATAATTACTACTAATAGTTAGAGGTTCACAAAGCCATTTTTGTTGCATCATGGTTGAAGCATGTTTAAAAGTGCCGTGCTCTCTTTGTTTCTAAAACTTCTTCCCATTTTTAACTTTTCATATGTATTACTTTTATCATAGTTTTTCCTTAAAAACAATTGTTGGATATGAATATTAATAAACTGCTTATTGAGACGAATAGATAAATTTCTATATGACCATGTTATGTGTATATTAAGAATAATTTAGAAGATTTTCTCATCTTATACATGATTCCAAGATTTTAATTGAACAAATAGAATGTGATTACCTGATAATGCTATTGATTAACTACATACGAAGGCCGTATTCAATTAATTACAACAACTTTGACTCATAAAAAAGTCTTGACATGTATTCCCTTGTATTTTTAAATAATTTATAAATGATATTTTATTTTATTTATAATATTTATCTGTATTTTTCCGAATTTAATTTTAAAAGTTTCAAATTATTAATTTGGGTCAAAATTTATTTTAGGCTAAATTATTTTATGAACCTATATCCTACAATTCATGATCATAAAAACAAAGTCTAACCTATTTGTTTATTTATTTGGCCCATTATTTTCATGAGACCCAATTTTACCCTACAACTCTCTCCTATAAATACCCCATGAATCCCCAAATTTTTCCTACATAAAAAGGTCAGTTATTTTCATTTCTCTTTATTTTATTTCTTTTACTTTTTCTTTATTTTTTTTGGTTTTTCTAAGCTATGCCCCTAAGGTGTACCCTTATTAAATGTACCCATGCTTTTTCAAATTTCTAAGTTGTGCCCCTCAACTCACCACCATTAATGAATGGTACCCTCCTTGGGACTTCCACATCATCTAAAGTTAACTATAAATTTAATAAAAAGATGATAAAAGGTAAGAAAATGATAGGAGAAAGAAATCTTAGCCACCGCAACCTTAATAACGAATATTGAAGCCACGAAATCACACTCTCAATTAACTTTTAAACAACTAATAAGGGTACATTTTAGTATTGATAAGAAGTTGAAGGGCACGGCTTAGAAACTTGAAAAAGCATGGGTACACCTTAGAAACTCGACTAGCTTAGGGTATAGCTTAGAAAAACCCTTTTTTTTCTTTCTTTTCTTCTTCCCTTTCCCTTTATTTTTCTTTCTTTCTTTTCCTTTTCTCCTTTCACGTGAAACTCCCCCTTATGCCGCCAACTGTCGCCGCCCAGCCATCACTAGCGCCTCCCTGCCGGCGCCGTCGCCCAGCCGCCGGTGACCCACTAGCAGCAGCGGCCCACCGTGGCTCCTTCTTCCTCCTCCTCTGTTTTCTTTTTATTTTGCTTAATACTTGATTTAATTGTTTTGGGTTTTGGTTTTATTGTTTGAAATTAATTTAATTAGTATGAAAAGCTATATTTTGATGATTTAAAGTTATAATTTCAGATTATATAATGGTTTAAATTTTTTTCTTCAGATTTTAGGAATAATAAACATAGGGTTTTAATTTATTGAAATTGGGATTTTAGGGTTCTAATGAGCAATTAAATTGGAGCTTTTGTCCCTATTGTATTTCTAATCATTAATTAAGCATAAAAACATGTTTTAAAGGAAGTTTTAAGGAGTTTTTAATCAAATTATATTGCTGGAAATTAGATTGTGAATTAATATTTGATTATTGGTTGTTTTCTAGGAGATGATTATTCCCTAGGAGACTTTTAATTGATTAAAAGTAGCACAAAGGATTGTTTATACGAGGTACGTACATGTCTACTTCGTTGTAAGTAGTATCATGTTTAGCTAACAAAAGGAAAGAACTTAGCTTCATGTTTAGAGAACTCTTGGATGGAAATTCTTTGGTTAAACATTAAATCAATTCATGTGCTTATGTTTATGAGACATGTTTTGGTGAATTGATTATGTATGTATGGAATTATGGATGCAAGCATGTTGAATTATATTGGATTAATTGTTTGCATGGAATGTTGATATAAGCATATTTTTATTGAATTGATTTATTAACTACTTTTGGATTATTGAAAGATTGGAATTGAATGGTTAAGTGGAATAAATTTATTAATTATTCCATGAGGTTATTATTATATATTTATTACTCAAGCATGACTTGTTAGTAAGTTGAGTAAAGGTGGATTAAGCCGAAATGGCTAGGTGGATTGACTATGTTCAACAATTTTGGTAATTTGGAATTTAAAGGGAATTAAAGGTCAATTTGTGATGTGATCATCGTTGTCATAGATAACATTAAAAGTGAATTATATGTATGATTATTATGTATGGTTTACTTGAATGAGTCGGCTATTAATTAAACTTATAATCACGTAAAGCGAAACATGGATGAACAATAAAACTCTGGAAATGGTGCACTTCTGGAGTATTGACAATTATGGGTGGGGGTACACGGTGGTAACCCGTGGCTTTCCGAGGCATGTTTGATCAACATGTCTTCTTTTCTTTTGATATTTACATTTTTATTTTATAATGAAAGTTATATGGGATCCTAGACTAACTTTCACTAGTAGAAAAAAATAAATAGGAAGCCCCAAATGAAAAGCGGTTATTAAAATCCGTTTCCAAAAATCCACAAAAAAGCAAAAAAAAAAAAAAAAAAAAAAAAAAAAACACTAAAACATACAAATGGGGAGCAGTTTTGTGTTAAACCACTCCCAAATATTGTAATTAGAAGCGGTTTGGGGTTAAACCGCTCCCCATTCCCAAAAAAAAAAAAAAACACGGACCCCTCTCTCCCTTATTTCTTCTCTCTCCTCTCTCCCCTTATTTCTCACGATCTTCTTCTCTCTCCTCTCTCCCCTTATTTCTCACGCCCCTTCTTCTCCTCTCTCCTCTCTCCCGTCATTTCTCACTCCTCTCCTCTCTCCATCTCCTTCGTTCTCTTTCTGCTCTTTCCTTCTCCTTTCTTAAGCCTCCCTTTCTTTTCTCTCTCCTCTTATCACCGGCAAAAATCCGAGGAAAATCCGAGCAGGTTAGTGTAGTAGATCTAGATTTTTTTTCTTTTGTTTTCAATTTAGTTTTTTTTATATATATATATTTTATTTTTTGGTTTTCTGGTGGTGAATTTAGGTGGTTGTTAGTGGTTTTAGGGTTGTGGTGGTGGGCTGGTTTGGGTATTCGGTGGTTAGGATGGGTTTGGATTGTGGGTTAGGGTGGGTGGAGTTGGTGGGTTCAGGGTATGGTTATGGGTGGGGGTGGCGTAGTGGTGGACAGAGGTGGAGGTGAGAAAGGGCGTGGATGCAGGTTGGGGGTGGCGTAGTGGTGGACAGGGGTGGAGGTGGGAAAGTCGTGGATGCAGGCTAGGGGTTTAGAGTTTTTCTGGGTTCGTAGTGATTTTTGGGTTCTGGGAAAAATCGAGCAAGATTTTTCTTTTTTTTTTTTTGTTTTTTTTTTGTTGATTGTAGATAAAGATGTTCATGTTTTTTATTAAATTTGTTGTCCAGGTATTTCAATTTAATTTTGTTTTTTAAATATTGGATGCGAGGTGGCGTCGGTTGCGGTGGTGGGCTGCTGGCGTCAGTTGCGGTGGTGGGCTGCTGGCTTCTGTTAAATGTGTTAATTGCTGGCGTCGATTGGTGGCGGGCTGGTGACTTCGACTGCGGTGGTGGCGGAATAGGGTGGTGGTGATTTTGGTTGTTATTTTTTTTGGTGTTGAATTATAATGTAATAATATTACAGTTAATTATTAATGGAAATATAAATTTTTATACATATGTTTTATATTTGTGTGTTAATTTCTGTTAAAATTTTTTATTTTTTAAAGTCATAATGGGAAGCGGTTCAGCATTAAACCGCTTTCCATTCCCTTCAAATTGGAAGTGGTTTGAACCGCTTCCCATTTAAAGAGACAATGGGAAGCCCCCTAAAGGCAAGCGGTTCAAAAACCGCTTCTAATTATGGTTTTGAACCGATTCCAATCTACTATTTTCTACTAGTGTTTGTGAGAATGGAGTCGCGCCCATTCTTGCATCGCGCTATATTTTTATTTTCAATGGTCGTTTGGGACCAAAATGATTTGGTGGATTGGATAACCTTGTCTATTGCTTACTCCAATTAAATTAATTAAATTAAATATAAAGAGTCAAGTGGATTGAAATTGGTTAGTGAGTATGTTGAGTTGATTGTACTATTTTGGTGTGGAGTCTTGGTTAATGAATTTATATTGAATGTTATTTATTTTAATTAGTTGAGCATGTTAGGTTTGTTGCGTTGTAGCTTGTATGTACTCTGCTTTGCTGATTGCGTGCTTTTGTGTGTTTTCTTTTGGTCATGGCCTTTGCCTTTCAATGACCCTGTGATGATCCAATTATTACACTTGTATTATTGGGGAGCAGTATTGTACAGGCTAGCTTGATGGTGTGAAGTTCGGGGATTTGGCAAATGCATTGTCAAGGGATTAGTGTGATTGAGAGTATTCGTTCCTTGTGTTGAACTTATTTATGTTTTACTATTTCATTTATGATTTGGGTTTTAAATATTGGTTTGGTTTTAAATAAGGGCCTTTATGGTTTTAGTTTGTAAGCTTTGACTTATTGGTTTTCTAAACTATGTTATTTTAATGACTTAAGTTTGGTTTTTCCGCTGCGATACTTTGATAAAGCCTTAAGGTTTTAACACGTGGCGGTAACATGCCAATGGTTCTTCTATATTTTATTTAGAGTAAGTGGTTTGGAAAAGGGAGAATTATTGGGGTGTTACATATCATGATTCATATTTACACGTCTAAATTAGTTATCTTAGAAATACATATATGATCAAACAACCAGCATATGGTCCAAGTTACTCTACTAGCCTAAACTCAATAAGAGTTTTTTCGTAAAACAACAAAGAGTAAACTATGAAGTATTTATATTATAGTTAACAAAAAGCTTTAAGAGTGATTATTCAGCTAATATAACTAATAATTATCGTCCACTTAATGATTAACTCACAATTAGAATCAAAAGCATTTTTTCTAAATAATTTTCTGCGAATATCAAGAATAAAATTGTTCATCGAATATAACTTATACCTATCAAAAGCTTATTGATTAATTTGCGCGCAATAAACTTGCATCAAAAGCATTTTCAATTAATATTTTTTGCTACATGTTACGCATGTTTTAAATCAATGTACATATATCAAACATATGTATACCTTAAATACGGCTCTATTGATTAAAAAAAAAAAATTACACATTTTATATTTCCCGTTTAATTTCACGAAATTGGGAGGGTGTCCGCAATGCGGGCGCTCCCACAACTAGTTTAGATAAATACATAACTTTGTCTACGACTAATATAAGTGATGCATCATATCAAATATTTCAAAAATCCACCCTTTATCACCTACTTCAATTTTTATTTTAATACTACCTCCGTTTTATTTTAGTTGACACGTTTTGACTTTAACACTATTCACACACTCCCCTTTGACCGTGTTTTATGTTTTATACGTAATGAAAAATATAGTCATGTGGAATCTTGTTAGATTCGTCACGATATATATATTCAAAATATCAAATTTTCATAATTTTTGCTTATCGGTAATTAAAAATATAAATGATTGAAGTTATGCATTGACAAACGTAACTAAATAAACGTGTCAACTAAAAAAAACGAAGAAAATAGTTGCCAATTACCATATTCCCCAGAATTGTTCCGAGTCAAGGTAATTTAGATTGATGTAATAATACATAACATAATTCGAGAATAAAATGTGAATGTTAACTACCTTCACTTAGTTGCAAGACTTACAACTACCGATTAGCTTGATAGAATCCGGGTTACACCCTTTACCCTTAAAATAACCTCAAAAATATGTCATAGCCCCAATACAAACATCCCACAAATAGCAATCAAAATCCCCTTGCAAAACCTTAAACCACCTGAAAAATTGAAAATCCACTCCTTGCTAATCAAACTCAACAATGGCTTCCACTATCCCAGCAACCACTACATTCTCTTTCTCTCCCCTTAACAAAAGAACCCATCTAATTCCTCCCTCCATTACACACTACAAACTTTACACCCCTAATCTACCCTCTCCATTTATAACCCTCCAAAAGGGCACTTCCCATTTCACGATTAACCCTCAATTTATCTCTCATCCCTCCAAAGTAAGGGCACCTGCAACAAGAAATCCAGAAAATACCCCAACAAACGAATTGGGGGTCACAATTTTTGGGGAAAAACCCTTGAAAACTGTGTTATGGGTGTTATTTTGGACATCTATTTCTCTTACAATTTTTGCATTTTCTAAAGATAGTAAGGCTTCTGCTGCTACTGTTGCTGTAATTGCTAGTGATTCCTCCATTAAAGCTTCGAGCTTTGGGGTTAAAGTTGCTACGTTTTTAAGGGGTTCTGGTTGGCCTGATGAAGCTATTGTTTTTGCTCTTGCTACTCTTCCTGTAATTGAGCTTCGTGGGGCAATTCCTGTTGGTTATTGGATGAAACTCAGTCCTCTTTTGCTCACTGTTTTGTCAATTTTAGGGTGAGTGATTGCATCATTTTGTTCTTCATTCTTTATGTTATTGGGTAATTACTGTTTTTCTATTTGAAATGTTTTGTGGGGTTGATTTAATTTTGGTGCTTATTGATTGTTGTCGAAATTGTTATTGGATTCCATCTACTGGTTGTGGTACTCAAACAAAAACTCGTATTGTAGCTGCTCGCAAAAGTTCCTTTGCTTGAATCGGTGAAAATGTCCTTGCAATTAATTGAGTTTTAGTACTTAGATCATGGTACCAATCTTGGCTGTTTGTGTGTATTCTAATTTCTTGATGCAATTCTTGAGTTCGGAGTGTTATGTTGAGATCATTGTGCCTGCAAGTTTATAAATTTAATGCTTTTGTTAGACCAAAATAAGTTTCATTTGGCTTTTGGAGTGACATTTAAAGAATTATAAGTTATCCAATCTTGGCAGTATGTTTAAAGGTGATATTGTGAGACTCGCGATTGAATTCTGTTTGTGTCATTGCCCTATTGCCACTCCGTATGTACAACGATGATTAAAAAAGAAGTGATACTCTTTGTGTCCCGCATTAATGAAGATCAGTTGCCTCAATTGGGAAAGGTTTTCTTAAAACAGTGTGAAAATTCAAGAAATGAGACATAATTCTGTATATATGGCTAATTGAACCAATTTTGATTTGAAATTAGTGCAGCGTTGGTTTGATTTTAAGTTCAAAAGGTGGCACCTAAGAGGAACTTTATCAGCTAAGCTAATGTAAACATCTTTGAAGAGTTGTGCACGACCTGATCATGTAGTAGTTTTGGGTTAGTGATCATATATATGAGGCTATCTAGGCATAGAAAATGTTGCAGCATTGATTATAGTTTTAAGTTCAAAAATGGCACCTAAGTGGAACTTTATCTGCTAAGCTGCTGTGGTATGTGGTCAGTGATCATATAAATGAGGTTATCGAGGTGTTTTTAAAAATAGGTCTAGCTACATGTTTGGGGGGAGCTTCTTCTTTGTGATTTTGAAAATGCATCCTGTTCAGTTTACTGCATATAACATGAATGTTTGTATCTTTTCTTGTTAAAATAAGTTTGTCCAAGTCACCAATATGAATCATGGGAGAAACATGAATAATGTCAGGGAAAATATAGCTAGTTGATTGATATTGGGCTGATCTAATTTGGTTATGTATTCGCAGGAACATGGTTCCAGTTCCTTTCATTATTCTCTACCTAAAGAAGTTTGCCACTTTTGTTGCTGGGAAGAACCGTACAGCATCGAGATTTCTGGACATGCTATTTGAGAGGGCCAAAGAGAAGGCTGGACCAGTGGAAGAGTTCCAATGGCTTGGTTTGATGTTGTTTGTAGCAGTGCCTTTCCCTGGTACTGGAGCATGGACTGGTGCTATCATTGCTTCCGTGCTGGACATGCCCTTCTGGCCTGCTGTAACAGCAAATTTCTTTGGTGTGGTGGGTGCTGGACTTCTTGTCAATCTGCTAGTGAATCTTGGCCTCAAGTATGCTATTATAACGGGTGTTCTCCTCTTCATTGTTTCAACGTTTATGTGGAGCGTGCTTCGAAGTCTTAAAAAGTCTCTGAAATCAGCAAACTAACTGTACTCAAATTCAACCATTTATTACACTAACCTTCTGTTGTATGGGAACTTGACCATCTCAGCACCTCTCCTACCCCACTACAGAACAGCAGTAGATCAATTCTTTTCTTAGTTTCATACTAACTTTGTGAATGTATCTTGAAATCTTGACATAATGAGAAACAAATCAGTATTATTACCTGCAGATGAACTTACTGATAGAACACCCGACTACTTTTGATATATGGTCTTGGATCTCGTTACAGAACTGGCTTTCTGACCAATCATCTAAATCTGTGTTCCTAGTTTTTCGAAAACTATATACTCACCTGACATGGTTTCATCAGATCTAGGGGGTTTGTGTTGAGTGCTACATAGTCTTAATATCTACAATCTTTTATATATTCACAAGTCACATGATTTATTTGTATCCTAATACAGAGAAATAGAAATTATGAGGCCCATTTTCAGCCTTACTTCTAGTCCAAGTTTCTATGCAGCAAATGACTAGAAACAGGCAGAGCCAGCAGTAACGTGCAGCCAAAATCCTCCAAACCAGCCGCCTAAGATAGCCCAGCCACTAATGCTGGTAATTGCTGTTTTTTTAATATTTTTTATCCCTTGGCATATCAACCGCCCTTGACAGTAGTGCTGCTAGTTCTGAAGCGAAGTCATGATAGTGCTGCTAGTCCTAATGCGAAGTCATACTGTCATACCCTCACACGACTCTTGTTAACCAACCCCAGGCCATCAAGTTAGTCAATCTGTAGTCCTCCATCACCCATTATTGGAACAAAGTAACTCCTTAAATTTGAAAGTGCAAAAAATAGCTAGTTACAATTTACTACAACATTCAAATTTGTCAAATTGTAGCAATTATAATAAGAGAGGATACATATAGTAGTAAAATAGTAAATGATTGCTGATCAATTCAATGATCCCGATAATTATACAAAGCTCTTATAATGAAAATTACACAATTGGTAGCTAACCCTATTCTTTGACCTTAGATGCATGACTAACAATTACGTTTACAAAGACAAAATACATCTCTTCTAATTAAGACTATATTTAAGAATTGTCGAATCAAATAATCTGGAAGATCTAAGATCTTCCCGAAAAAGTTGAGCACACCAATAATATCTCCAACCTACATAACGAGCATGGTTTTTTCCCTTCAACGAATCATGCAGTTTTCAAGATAGATATGAGAACAAGTGTAGCTACATTGTCTGACATCCCAAACTCCTCTAAACAACTTGAGCAATTATCTTTAGCTCCTGAATGGTCGTTAACAAACCCGACTCACTTTCTTGTAGAACAAATTTTATGCATTTTTTTTACAACCCTCGCACTCCTTAATCTCCACATCTGGCTCAAAAAACATGGGTTCCATTTCCTCCTTCGGCTCATTAATATCAAAATACATGGGTTTGTGACCCTCTTCCTCTTCTTCCACTTTGTACGCTTCAACTTTAACGTACATAGCTAGAGAAGTATGACCAGATTCGCGCACATCATCGACCATGGTCTCACAACTTTTGACCACAACATCAATTATACAATTCCAAGCATTCATATCAAGTTCATCAATCATTCAAGCCGACCCATGACGCCAGCTTGCCAATCACAAAATGTTGTTGACCAGATCGTCTTGACGGTACGATAAGTAGACTGTAAAGCAATCATCTAGTGGCTTCTGGTTTTGGTTACCGGCAGGATTTGCTTCGATTGCCATGATATAAGTTTGACAATTGATTTAACTAATGAGCTTAAACAAGAAAGATTATTGAAATTCTCTAATGAAAGTTCAAGGTAATAATTTGTTTTCAAGATTTGTTGTTATGAATATCTAAAAGTGAATAATAATGATTTATTATTTAATATTGAATGACTTAATATGAAAAAGATAACATGAAAACTATGAGTATTATATTGATATACATGTGTCAACAATCTAATCTAATATCATATCATATTATTTCATATCACTAATATATAAAGCCGGTCTCGCAGTCAGGTCACGAGACAGTGATATTTGACATTCCAGTTTTTCACTAAGTGTAGCACTACGTATGCAAAAAAATAGATATTATTGTAACATATGATACTAAGTAAGTGAATTTTGGATAATTTTTTTAAGATGAAAATGTCATATATAAACAAAAATTTTCCCCAAGTGTCACGCCACGTAGGCGACTAATAGGTATTATTTTGACACGTATGATGCTAAGTAAGCGAGTTTGGATAGATTTTTAAAGATAAAAAAGTTGTATAGAGTTTTATTATCGATATACTTCTAATATTTCATATATACAAAATTAATCCTAACTTTTAATAAATATCTTATAATTTGGTACTATTCCATCTTAAAATTCGTTTTAAAAAGTTCTTTAAAATAAGATCTATTTATAGTATATTTAATTTATCTAATTTTTATTTTGGTAAAAATACTTTTAGTTTAGTAAAAATAATTTCAGTTCAATAAAATATATTTCAATTCAATTAAATATATTTCAATTCAGTATGTCTAAATATCCTGCATTATCAAAAGGGATTATATGATCGTATTTAACATTCAATCCAAAAGATTTATCCTAAACTTTTATCAACCATTTGGGCATCGCCCGGGCACAAAACTAGTATATATATATATATAAAGGGGAGTTTTTTCCCGAGTTATTAGAGTGCCACATAGGATTTTATAATTAGAAAATTATTAGAGCGCCACTTAGGATTAATATTTGTAAAACGCTACAATCGGATTATGCCACGTAAGATTAGTTTTTTTTAAAGCGCTACGTAGATTTATAATAATAAAAAAAACGCCACGTAGGATTAATAATTTTAAAACGCTACAATAGGATTATGCCACGTAAGATTAATTTTAGAGCGTCACATAGTTATATTTTAGCCAATGAAAAAAAAGAATTACAATTTATTTTAGATAAATTTTTTAACTAATTTTTAAAATAAAATTAGTGTGTTTTTTGTGTGGCTGGCCATATCGTGTGGCCGGCTGAGGCAAACCCAAACACTGACCGAGTAACCCATGACCGTCCGAATAACCCTTGATCGATTGAGTAACCCCTGATCAACCAAGTAACTCCTGATCAAGTGATCCCGACCACATGGTGTGACCAGCCACATATGAAACTTTGTGAAATAAAATATTATGTTTTTATATTAAAATTTTTATCTAAATATGAAAAACAAAGTTAATAATTCATTATAATTAAAAGTTCAAGTAGTAAGCAAGCGAATATCACAAAGTTTATTAGATAAATATATATATTTAGTAATATTTTATTTGAAAAAATACAAACAAACCGTACACCACACGGGCTTCATCTAATATATACTAGATGAAACAAACAATACATCGCACGGGCTTCATCTAATATAAATATATATTTAGTAATATTTTAGAAATGAAACTTGAAAAACTACTTTGTAAAGTTGAAATATTACGAAAATGTCATTAATGACATGGATAACATGTGGACTGTATGATTAAGATGATCTAAGGGCCTAGATTAGTTCCTTCCAGTTTTTCGTCAAGTATCGAGCCACGTAGGCGACAAATAGATATTATTGTGATTAGATTAGATGTCACATTAGATTAGATTGGATAGATTTGTTTAGGATAAAAAATAAACGAAGTACATAAATTATAAATAATTCTTTTGAAAAAAAATTATCTTTTTATTGACAATAGAATTTTACTTATAGTAAGACACTACATATTATAATTAATATGATTATCCAATTAACAATAAAATTATAATCTATACGAATAACCACGTAATCTAATATATCATATCACTAATATAAAGTCGGTCTCGCTGCCAGGTGACGAGAAAGAGACACTTGGCATTCCAGTTTTTTACCAAGTATCGAGCCACGTAGGCGACAAATAGATATTATTGTTACACATATGATGGTAAATAAGAGGAATTTAGATGGATTTTTAAAACTAAAAAAAATATTGTATAGAGCTTTATTACTGATATACTTCTAATATTTCACATATACAAAATTAATCATTACTTTTAATAAATATCCTATAACTTGGTTCTAATTCTATCCTAACATTAGTTTTAAAAGTTCTCTAAAATAAGATTCATTTATAATATATTTAATTTATTTTTAAAAATAATAGAATATTAATAAAAATAATTTTTAATTACTAAAAATAATTTTAGTATGGTAAAAATTAAATACTTTCAGTTCATTAAAAATAATCTAAGTTCAATAAAAATAATTTCAAGTCTATAATAATGTAGATATCTATTTACAAATAAAACTACAAAAAGTACAATTATTATATAAATAAGCGATGTGATATTGTATATCTAAATATCTAGCATTATCAAAAGGGATTATATGACCGTATTTAACATTCAAATCAAAAAAATTATCAACAATCTGGACATCGCCCAGGCACAAAACTAGTATAGGAAATTTGAGGGTTGGTTTTGAAAGGAATGGTGTCCTTCCAACAAGTGTATTATTCTGATAAAGGGTTCAAAATTATTACAGAGCTAATTCTTCATTAAGGTCAATTGATCGGAATGCCTAGGTGGAGGCCGCTTCCGATCAGTAATATTAAGGTATAATTAATATTACAACTTAATCTTAACTGAACCCTTCGGGTCGAACCCAATCGAACAACCGATCGGAGACGACGAATTAATCCGAAGGATTTAATTAGTTGACGGAGTTTTACGAATACAGACGTCGGATATTGAGCCTAGGGCATCGAGACCGAGCGTCGCAAAATCACAAGTAACAAGTACGAGCATAGCCGTAGCTAGGCTAGGCTAGCTCATCGCAAGCCTAGGCGCACCATGGTGTGCTAGGTGCGCCATGCGTGCTAGGCGCACTAGGCTGCCCATCGCAGCACCACCTGCGTGTGTGCGTGCCTTTGATGGCACAGCATCACAGCAGTGTGCGTGCATGGGTGCCTAGGCACTATCGCAGCACCATCGCACCATCGCAGTGCTGGGCACTTGCGTGTGTGCGTGTGCGTATGTGCCTAGCACAATCGCCAAGCATCAAGCCATCCAGCATGCGTGGCTCGCTAGCAGCACGCATGCTGGGCCTTGCATGTGTGTCTCGCACCATCCCAAGCTCTAGCACAAGCATATGCACTATCGCATGGCTAGGCCAGTGCATATGTGCGTGTGCGCGTAGGGCATCGCAGCAGCAGCACTAGCCTCGC